AGAGTGAGATCACACCCACTTGGACAGTCAGTACAGCAATGCATTACATTAACCTGCAATCACACAAATCAGCCAGAGATTTCAGACAACTTCGTCTTCAGAATAACATTTTCAGAACTGAAATATGACTTTAAATAAGTTCATACAGACTCTATGTGGAACTTTCCAAATGCTTTTTAAAAAAGCTAAAAAGAGGTATAAATCCAGATGTAAACAAATAATTGCTGCATTTAACTTTGCACACAGCACAGACATGTTAGTTAAAATTACTATTTTGTCCTGTTACAAGAACAGTTACTCAACTTGATATATAAATACCAGTGTGCCCACTGGTACATCTGATACTTACAAAAAAGGAGCTAAAATTTAATATTTTCATTATAAATTGCTCAATCCCTGAAGCTGAAGAAACTATATTAACCACTCGTTATATAAATTCATTACAAAACAGTTCTAGTTTTATCTTCAAGAGTTTTGATTACAAATAAGTAACTCTGAAATTAATCTCAGTTAATAAGGAATATATTTGTTTTAAAACTTAAGAAAAACTGCCACTAAAGAGTGATAGTTTTGTTGCTGAGGTAATGTCTACATATGAAGTAATTCAGAACCCTATTGTCTTCTGTGAAGACAGTAAACATGTGTGTCCTCTAAAGAATTTAGAGAAATTATCAGCTAATCTGAATCACTAGATTAATTTATTAAGTGCTCAAAACGCTAAAAAACTTGTGTTGAGATTTTTCTTCTACTTAACCCAGTGGGTCTTAAACTCTGTGTACTGAAATCATCAGTCCTTCATAGGCTATAGGCCACGCTAATGGAGAAAGCAGATTCCACAATTAGAAACCGAATCTGAATAAAGAAAGCCAGGAAAATGAAAGCTTTTGTGAACTTTTCCAAAGAAAATGTCAGCATGGAACAGAAAGCTAGAAAGTAGAACACCAGAGGAGAAAGTTATACCCACTATTCCTCAGGCCAGAGGAGTTCTGCACCTACACCTAATCCCAGTTGTTCAGGAAGCAAACACTGATGCAACCACCTCAAATCCTTTTAGAGACACCCAAGTCTAATAAATTTGCTGATCATTCAGTACACAAGAAAACAAGGCATTTGAAAGAAATCAAGTGTAAGACTTCACCCCCTCCATTTCCTTCACCTCCATTCGCAGCCCTACTCATGAATCGATTTTGCAAAGACTTGACCAACTGGTAAGTGAGCTCTTGGGAGGGGACCAACATTAAAGGAACTACCAGGAAGGAGGCCAAGAGAAAGCTTGGCTCCCAAGTTTCACCCAGTGATCCTTTCCACTGCACAACAATAAGAGGTTCCCACCCCATGAACTTTGGAAGTTTCCCAACTCCTGGAGACATTTACTCCACCAGCAGCAGCACTGCCTACGCCAAGAGCTACTCTGTTGCATTCTCCCTGGCACACAATTGCTTTTTCTTAAAGCACACAGGTAAATTACACATCAAATGATACTTCACCCTTGAACTACTTCAGAACTCAAGTCACAACATAGTGCAAGCAGCAAATGCCACAAAACCACAGTGGATGAGCTGATGGAGACTGTTACAATTAAAAGTAGAATGTGTAATATTTTTCACCAAAAAATGAAGTGATAAACGGCTTCTGGGAGATGCAAGGCAGTATCAAGGATAAGTAATCTAATTCAGGGAATTTGGACATGGGAGCTCTCTGGATTATTCCATGCCAATGACTTTCTGAATCAGCTGAAAGAGTATCTGACTTTCCACTACATTTCCCAAATGCTATATGCAAACACTCATCACAACAACGTTGACAGATATATGCATGGTTGCAAAGTGATTCCTTGTACAAAACTTAAAAAAAACTTGTAGCTGATAAAGAATAATTTTAAACCAGGCTACCAAAAAACACATTGGAAAGCTATTAAATTTGGATAAAATGGAACCAACAGAGTTGAGGTTTCTAGCTGAGGGTTTTTAGGTTAAGCTCTTTCCAATACTGAATGTACACTCCTGCCAAAATTCCACCACACAAGTTGAATAACTTAAACATTACCAAAACCCCAGATTTATGCAAAACACTCACTCTGTAACAGTTACACACACTTCTTAAGAAATCCACTGAACTAAGGCAAGTGACCATCTTCTCTCAGTTAAGAACTACAACGTCTAAATTACCACCACTAAAACACCTCCACCTCTCACAGAGCTGCAGTAAATCTCCACTAAGTACCGAGGACAAACTGATTGAGAGATTTCCTACTTCCATGTGAAGGGACAATTCCAATAGGAAGCCTTTTGATATGAGTGGGACAAGAAGCAACAGAATGTCACAGGAACATGAACTGGAAATTTTCTCAAGAAATCAAAGGAAAGAAGGTCTCTTGTGAATATGTACATATTTTGTAGAGGGGAAAGGGAATCATGGAATGGTTTGGGTTTGAAGGAAACTTGAAGATCATTTCATTCCGACCCCCCTGCCATGGGCAGGGACATCTTCCACTATCCCAGGCTGCTCCAAGCATGATCCAACCTGGCCTTGGACACTGCCAGGCATGGGGCAGCCACAGCTGCTCTGGGCACCCTGTGCCAGTGCCAAGGTACAAGAGGCTCTTGGAGACCACAGGCAAGACCATTAGTCAAGCACTGAGGCAAGTGCCTTCTATTCCATCCCAAAAATGCAAGGCCCAGGACATACAGGACAAAATGTATGGTCTTCATGTTTTGATTGGGAGCACAGTATTTTGAAGATCCCAGGACTTTATGACTACAGGTATCAGGCTGCTGCTTCTGGGAAGTGTAACAGTCTCACTTAAGACTTCTTTAGTCTCAACCAGGTTTTGGTAAATACACAGGAAGCAGACTGCTTTTGACAAGGAGACAGAAATGCCCATAAGGAGCATATGAACCTGTCACAAAAACTGTGAGAAAAAAAACCCACCAAAAATATCCACTTGTCATCAACATGAAAACATAACAAAAAAGAAAAAAGCAGGCTGAGGTGGTTCCATAAGGCAAGATACACAGAAGCCTACACCTAGGCATACCAAAGAGCCTGGAAATATTCAACAGGACAAATTTCTAATTACCACCACCTCTACAACGGCAGGGGATGCAAAGAGAAAAAAAAAGTGAAGTGATGTGAAGAGATTGTATATGAAAGGCTGGAAAAGCAATGCAGACTGTCTGCCAATGCAGATAGAAAACCTGGGAAGAATGAATGAAGCAGGAAATTAATGAGATTGAAGTGCAAGTCAACTGTTTCCTCTTGCTGTCCTCAGCTATTTCTTCTCCACTCTAACTTATGTTGATATTGACAATTGGTTTTATTCTTCTCTCGTGTATATTTGTGTTTAGGTGCTTTCAAAGGCACAAAAAAAAAACAACAGAGAAACACAACCTATAGGGAAAAAGAAAGAGGAAAAAAATTAGCTTTATGTGATTTCAACTGAACATGCAAAACTGTTAACAACATGCACTGATGGTTGAAATCAGTTATAAGGGCCAGAAAGAAAAATTGGTAGCTTTTCAAATTCATTTTATATTTGTCTATAGCATATACAAGTTTTTAATAGCAACAAGTAGCTTGTGCCGCCTATGCAAGTACAGAATGTAATTTTTTATTTTCACTGACAGTTTAAAAGCAGTCTGCAAAGTACCAAAGTTAAAAGTTTGGCAGAAAGCTGTTTCAAGGGAATATAACACCAAGGATATTTCTGGATATTTAAAATCTCAGATTTCCAGATGAGAGTTAAACGCAGTTTCTGCTGATGTACAAGTTTGCAGTTTTATACACAAAGGGCAGATTGTTTAAAAATTATTTTCCCTTTCCTAAGTAAATATCTCCTTACAGAGTGAGGGGGAAATAACCATGCAATAGACACACACTGGAAATCCTTCACAAACATTTATGGTTGCCCTGGCCACACATCCCAGAAGGCCCAGAGAGAAGCCAGGTAAAATACTTTCAGAAGTGACACTAACTGCTAAGCACCCTTCTAAAAAGGGATATTTACTTCCAGAAATAATACAACTTCTAGTAAAAAACATAAAAGGAGACATTTTTGTTAACCTTTTTTTCTTATGGTTACAACAAAATGCCTTGGCAGTCGTACAAATGGTTTAGCTCAGAACCACTGTGGTAAAAATTCCTGTAAGCATATGGGATATCTATCGAAATAATGCTTTCTGCAGAACTGATAAGAATAAGGAAGGACCCTGCTTGACTCTGTCACAGGTTGTTCTTCCTGGCAGGAGGTTCGAGACAATCCTTTTTGTTCAAGTACTATTTTTATGACTCTTAACATCTATGTAGAAAAGAAATTACGAATAGAGTCACAAAGCAAAACTACGTTTTAAAATGGATTGCTGTTTTCAGTATACTACAGTTAAAGAAATACCGAGACCTCATCGATATCGCTCATACAGTTTCCTTTGTTTTGCCGTTTCCCATGCTTTACGGTCTTTCTCACCTACTTCTGCCCTCGAACAGCCTCAGTGTGATGCAAATTTTGCCCGGACTCCCGGGAATTTCAGCCGACGACATCATCAGGTGAAACCAGCCTGAGTCAACTCCACTTCCTGACCACGACTAAGATGGTGAACCGAGGGCAGCTTTCCTCACACACCATCCACGGAACCCTGCCACAAACTTTGCCGCAGCCCAAAAGACGGCGAACAACCTCCGAGCCAAACCCCCCGAGCCGCCGCCTTCTGCTTCCTCGCACGGCCTGAACTTCCCGAACCGAACCGCACCGGGGGTAGCGAGGGCCGGGGCGGAGAGCACCGCGGGGCCCCGCGGCCGAGCGGCGGGCAGCCTCACCGGGGCCCGCGGGAGCCCGAGGCGGGGTCGCTGATCCCGGGGTCGCTGATCCCCGGACCGCGGACAGCCGACACCGCCCGCCCCGCGGCCCTGCCCTCCCGCAGCACCGCCCGGCGCTGCCCCGTGCCCGAGGCCACAACAAAGGCTCTTCCCCCGCACCGCACCCGCACCCCCGGCCCGGCACGTACCGGATCGCGGCGCTGGCGGGGCGGCGCGGCGGGGCTCATTCCGCCGGGGCGGGGACGCTGTGACGGTCACCGGCGCCCGGCGGGAGGCGAAGGCGGCGAGCCCGGGCGGCGGCGGAGCCGCATCGCTGCCCGCGCCGAGTCCCGCTGCTCCGGCCGTGCCCGCGCCGCGCTCCGCAGCTCCCGCTCGGCCCCGCTCCCGCTCCCGCCGCACTTCCGGGAGGGAGCGGTCACGCGGGACGCGCCGCTTCCATCCGGGAACGCGCGCGGGGCGGAGCCGGGCCGAGCCGGGCCAGGCGGAGCCGAGCTCAGCCGGGGGCTGTGGGTGAACGCTCCCGGGCTGCCGGAGCCCACAGCGGCTCACCGGGGCTCACCGGGGCCCACCGGGGCTCACCGGGGCTCACCGGGGCCCACCGGGGCTCACCGGGGCCCACCGGGGCTCACCGGGGCCCACCGGGGCTCACCGGGGCTCACCGGGGCCCACCGGGGCTCAGAGCCGCCCCACAGCACACGGCGCCCGACTGCGTCCCCGTGGTTCTGGGACATCTCCGCTGAGGGAGGCTCCGCGCCCTGTCCGGGCAGGCTGATCCGGAGCGGAGCTCTTCCCGTTCTCCCGTGGAATTCCCTGTGCCTTCCCGTGGCCTCGTGTGCTCTTGCCCGTCCAGGATGGAGCGCGTCTCCTGAGGGGCTGGGACACAGGGATTGTTCAGCCTGGAAAAGAGAAGCTTTGGGGTGACCCAACTGCGGCCTTGAAGGGAACTTACAGAGAAGATGAGGCAAGGCTGTTTAAAAGAGCACGTAGTGACTGGACAAGGGGGAATGGCTTCAGATGGAAAGAGCAGGTTTAGATCAGATATTAGGGGGAAATTGAAGGTGGTGAGGTCCTGGCACAGGGTGCCCAGAGAAGCTGTGGCTGCCCCATCCCTGCAGCTGGACAGGGCATGGAGCAGCCTGGGATAGGGGAAGGTGTCCCTGACCATGACATGGGGTGGAACAAGATGATCATCAATGTCACCTTCTAACCCGAACCATTCTGTGGTTCTCTTGCTTGGCACCACGAAGAAGACCCTGGTATCTTATTCTTGGCACCCCCTTTAGGTATTTATACACATTAATGAGGTCCCCTCTCAGCTCTCTCTTCTCAGGGATTAACAGGCCCTGCTCCCTCAGTCCTCGACTCCTTATTTACTTATTTTTTTTTTAATTTTGTTTTGCTTTTCAGATGATGTTGACTTGAAATTGACCTGAAATTGATACTCACGAGCTCCATCTGCTCCCCAGTAAGGGGCTGGAGAAGAGCCAGTCCTCAGTGACTGCTCCCCCACATACAGGGCTGGTGTGGGGCTCTCAGCTTCTCACCCTGCCCACAGATCTGCTCCAGGCTGGCACAGACATTCAGTATCTTCAGTCCACAGCCCCTGACCAGGACTCTTCTGCTCCCTCCACAAATGCTCACCACCCAGCAGTTCTGAGACCTGTTGGTCAGATCTGTTTCCTCTAAAACCAGGTGAATTTCTCTACATCACTGAAGTAGTTGCTTCTAAAAATAAATGATGTAATAATTTGTAAATTACATGCCCAGTACTGCAAAATTCCCTGTGGAGGTCTGAAAATAAAACTTAAGCAATATGTTTTGCTTTGTTTTTCAAACAAACAGGGCTTTAAAGAAAACATCCTCTATGGAGACAATTAAGACCCAGTGACACCTTAATGGCTTCTCTTGAGAATGAGCGCTAAGAATACACACACAGAGCATTGTGCTGTGTAAGGATACCCAGGCTAGCAAGGTCTCAAAATCGATACAACTGCATTAGTGAGCCCTGGATAATTCATCCTGCAGAGAAAAACTGCACTGACAGGGCCATACTGCCTTTGCTAGTACTAGTTCTCTCAGAGCTATTTTGTGAACCTGTCCAGCACTGCACTCTATTTTCAGATGTCTCAGCAGTTTTTGTTTATTTGGAGTCTTTTACACACCAGCCCTTTTATGAAATAGCTTTACATCCTCAGCCAGTGCTTGCTCCATTTAGTGAGCAGGATTCTTGCAGGGGGACCAGGCTGCTTTCATGTTGACCGCTATTTAGAAGAAAACACAGTAAACATTTGTCATTTGTGAGAAACACAAAGAGAACACAGAGTATCAGAATGTTTGGTCTTGTGAGCTGAACAGTTGAGTGATTTGAGACACTGTTGCAACTGGGAAGTGAAAGATGACCATTCTTTCACAGGGCAGAATGCAGTCACTCTTTGTGAAAATCAGGTTGCATTCCTAGTTATAACTGAAGAGTCTGAAGTGGGAATCTTAGGATTTAAATAGAGTAACTTGGCACATAAGAAAATCAGTAAGTGCATCTTTGTATCTAGTAATCATCACCTCCCTTAAATCCCAGACTAGAGAAAGTCTGCAAAGATGAATCATTAAGAGAAGTTGTGGAAAACATGCATTTGCCAGCAGTGAAAAGGTGAGATTACAGCTCATGCATCCCTTGGGCAGAAAAGTTCCTTTGCTCACCCTCAGATATTGGAGGGTGTGGGTACATGCCACGGTAGGGTGTGTAAACGGTGGCCAAGCAGAGCAGCTACCACCCTCCAGACCTGGAGTCTCCATTTGGTTTTAGCAGTTTAACTAACTTTCCTGTACTTTTCATCCACTGCTTAGTCCTGTTTCCTGCTATTCCCCCTCAGATTCCCATTTTTGCACCCTCTCAGTGCTGAATTAAAGTGCCCTATGTAGTGTTGGTCTGTTGTGTAACACTAAGGTGAAATTCTGTTTTGTCAGTGACATCGGTGTGATTTGCATTTTGGCAGCACTTAGTGGGTCAGTTGAGATAAGTGACCTTCATGCCAAATGTTTGACAAAACAGAGAGTTTGTTGTTTGGCTATGACAGAAATGGTAGAGAAAAACAAGGCAGGGTGAAGTGATTAAGCACACTTCCAGAACAAAGATTTTGGCAGAAACCAGAGGAAAGACAAAACTTTCCTGGGTCATATGTGACTGCCCTGGGCCATACTTCCTCAGACCAGGCAGCAGGACTCACAGGCATATACTCCTACAATATACACCATTTTCTGGCAGGACCTTGGTAGTATTTATATTTTTCAAAAAAATTTCACAGAAAGAGGCTATGCTAGTTTATTTTCCTTAATAAAACCCAATATTAATGTATTTAATTTCCAAATTACAGCCTGGGAAACTATATGTCTAAAGACATCTGAAGAAAGCACAATGGCTGTTGTAGTTGTTTTTAATTGTACACACAGCCAGCAGTACTGACTCCTCTATTTAGACTGCCCATCACTTCTCATTATGAAAAAGCTCTCAATGCACACATTTCAGTGTGGGAAAGGGAAATTTAATGTGAAAGGCCTCTAAAATATTTTTACTTATTGCTCCTAGAAAGATTAAGAAAGCTTATTAACATATAGCTATAAAAGGATTAGTATGTGGAGATTTTAAGTACTCTAGTCTGGGCAGGCAATACAGTGTGATCAAGTTTCAGGCTGTTGGGAATTTCACCTTAGATAAACCCCTCAAAATACAAATTGTGTCTTGCTGTAGTATTAAACATGGTATTTCCTGTGCTTCTATGTGAAACACAATTTATTCAAGGTTGTAGATGAGATTTCTTCACCCTTGTTTTGTGATATGAGGTGAGATGTTAACTTTCAGGGTCTCCTCTCAGGGTAGATAGTTTGGTTGTAGTATGAGTCCCACAGATTTAAGCGAAGTACTTGCATATGTAAACATAAATTGAAATTATTTGCAAAACAATTTGTTGTGAGTGGAAGCCATTCTCTACCCAATATGTAGTCACATTTCAATGGTGAAATTTTATATCCTAATTACAGATTCATCATAAATCTCAGAGATATTCCTGCTGAAAAGAGCCATTTATATACATGTGTGTAAGAACATTGCTGCAATAAGTTTTCAAGATCCACAACAGAATTATGGCACTAAAATAACATTTTTGAAAGAAATTAAAGACAGGAATATTAATTTAATCTATTTTCTTAATCACTGTAATTATTTCATTAACATATTCTAGAGAAATCCACTGCAAGCCACCCAAGGGAGGGCAAGTATTACATGCTTTCTGTTTTCTTTTGGTATCTGTTGTCCAAATGTGAGCACTTTCTGGAGGAATCATGATAAATCCTTAGCATCTTATTTCATTCAACCCTATTTACTTTTAACAGAGCCAGCAGACAACACTGCAAATGTGCTGCCAAGATGTATGGGTGACTTTGCATTAAGTAAATGCAAAGGCAGATCTAGCTGATATAAATCATTATTATATGGGCAGTTTTAAAAGAGTGAAAAATTTCAGCAGGAAAGATTTTTGTCTTTTTATAATAGAGGGGCTTCAGATTTTGAATTGCTTTTTGGGATTTAAAGTTCCAGGGCATTAAGATATTACTCAATTTAGAGTGATTTTTTCACCTTAAATTATTTTTATATTTTCCTGGACTTCCTTTCTGAAAAAGAAAAGAATAAAGCTGTTAAGCCATGACAAACAAATAATTTCCTACAAGGTGGTGATACAGCCCTGAAATTACTTAGTAGTGTTTCAACAGAATGGGTGTTCACTTGAAAAGGTCAGTGTTTTGAAGCCAGCACTCTTCACTGTGAAATATATGCTAGTTTTGCAGGAAGGCTTCAGCAAAGATGCAGATTCTCCTGAGAGAGGAGGGTGACACTGGAGGAGTGAAGTGTTCCTGCCAGTGGCTGCAGCACAGAGCCTGCAGCCCGGGGGTGAGTCACAGCCAAGTCTCTGTTTTTCCTGATTCAGTGTGATTTTGATCTTCTCTTTCACCACAGATAAAAACCACCAAGCTACTGTAACCACCAAGTCTTCTCTGTTTATACTTTATATAAATAAACACAAGTTTTAGCAGAGGCTTGAACTTGGGACTTCCAAATTTTGCCTAAGCTGAGCAGCTGCTGGGTGTGAGCTTCTCTTTCTTCTTCCATTAAAACAAATAAATAAACACTGGAAAGATTTTAATGCAAAATATGAAAACATTTCAGTTTTCTAACTTTCACAAGACAGGCACATGTTTCCCCAATAGTTCCCCACACATTTTATTTCAAGAGGTGCTTATATGTTATTAGTGTTAAAAAATAATTATTAAAAAGAATTTGCTTTGTATTGTCATGTTCCTTTCCATCAATTCCTGTGTTGATGCTATTT